CTTCAACTAAGCAAAGTGGTGGCTAGGCTCCTGGGAAGGTATTTTCATTCTTACACAGTTGTGGTCCTGTCGCTGTTGAGATATCCCCGGGTAACACACTCTACGCCATGTTCAAATGCCACACCTACTCCGTCTTAGGGATAAGCAATGTACGACTTCTGCACTCTTTGCGCTCTTTCCTTTGTGTACGGTTTGTGACTCTCTCCCGTAGCTCTGCAGTCGTCTTTACGTCCATGCGAAATCGTCCAATGCTGCAGTTTTTTCGACCATTTCTTCTGTTGAATTCTTTATTGATGGGCCAACAAACACCTCTGAGTTCACGAAGATTTCACTCACCACTTTCAATCGTGGAATGTGTTTTTCATGCGTTGACGAACAGTATTGGGTTGGCCATAAGTAATGGCGTTTTTTCAATCGGAAATTTTGTTCAAAAAGTGAAACGTTTTGCGAGCAATTCAATATCATCTGGTAGGAAACTTCTCGTACTAAAAGAATATCGAAACAGCTGTGGAGTGAGGAAATGATTTTTGTAAAATCTTTAGTAGTTGAAGTTGAAAGTTGAGTCGGCAAAAACTGGTATCTTCGACAACTGCCTCTATTTCCGTCTATTCGAAGTGCTAAAATCGCTTAAGCTGCTCCATACATTTGCAAGTAGGTTGAGCTAGAAGTCCCAGCGAAGGAATTCTCATAGGACGCTTTCGTCTCTCACGTCGCTCATAGGACGAATTTCAAGAATTTCGAAGTTGGCAAGGTTCACCTCGCAGATAAGAGGCAGGATCACAAGTCATCACGTCCGTTCCACTTGAAATTTTATGCTAATATTTGAATGTTGTGTGATTGGATGTGAGTGTGACTGTGATTGTATGCTCTGATAGCGAATTTCGTGCTCTATAACACTGCAATGGGAATCTGCTTTCCATAGCTGTTTACTTTCTGATAATTTCAGGTTATTAATACGGAATGTCAGGTCGATCAGAATCAGCATTCTCAACTTGTTCTCCCTACCGCTTTTCACGGGAGCTTCAAAGCTCCTGGAGCAGCTCAATAGATTCGCCGGTTTGAGTAAATCATTGAGTAAAACAGGTATATCAGGACGGCTCACAGCTGATTTCAAGAAAAGCAAAACCGACAACGCTGTCCTTACAGAAATCGGGTCGACCCATACCTCACGATTTTTTTTTGTTTTCGTGATTAAATTTCGTATACAATATGTAAAACGCTATAAAAAATATACATGTTAACAATGAACTAGTCAGTAATATATTCTCCATTGTTTCTTACAACCTCCTCCCACCGATCAGCCAGCTTTTCAATGCCTTCTCGGTGACTGATCGGTGGGAGAAGGTAGTAAGAATCAATGGAGAATATATTATTGACTAGTAGTAAGAATCAATGGAGAATTATTAATGACTAGTTTATTGTAATCTATCTATATTGTTTTATAGTGTTGCAAATATTGTGTATGTGAATTTAATCAGAAAAAACAAAAATCGTGAGTATGGGTCGACCTGATGTCTGCATGGTCAGCGTTGTCGGTTTCTGCTTCTTCTCAAGAATCAATTGTGAGCCGTCCCTATATTAATCTGTTACTCAAGCTTTACTCAAACCCTAGCGCTTCTGTGGAAAGCGGTAGGGAGAGCAAGTTCGGAATGCTGATTCTGATCGACGACATTCCGTATTAATAACCTGAAATTAACAGAAAGTAAACAGCTATGGAAAACAGATTTCCATTGCAGTGTTATAGAGCACGAAATTTGCTATCAGAGCATACAAACACATTAGCGAAACATTCAACTATTAGCATAAAATTTCAAGTGGAACAGACGCGATGACTTGTGATCCTGCCCATTATCTGCGAGGTGAAGGTTGCCAACTTCGAAATTCTTGAAATTAGTTCCGAAGCGTCCTATGAGGATTCCCTCGCTGGGACTTCTAGCTCAACCTATTGCAAATGTATGGAGCAGCTTAAGCGATTTTAGCACTTCGAATAGACGTAAATAGAGGCAGCTGTCGAAGGTACTAATTTTTGCCGACTCAACTTTCAACTTCAACGACTAAAAAGTTTACAAAAATCACCTGAATCTCAAGAGTTTCAATATTCTTATAGTACGAGAAGTTTCCTATCAGATGATATCAAACTTGCTCGCAAAACATTTCACTTTTTGAACAAAATTTCCAATTGAAAAAAAACGCCATTACTTATGGGCCAACCCAATAGATGAGATTCGATCACATTCATTAGATGCGCCGTAGGCATCTCCAATGTTACTACAACGGATTGCTCAGCATTCCATTGGACATACTATAGAATGCACTTGATTGTCTCTTGACATTACGCTCTTTGTGTTTCAGGATGGCTGCAGTGGAGCGAAGTTCGATCCAAAAACACTCTCATGCGCCCTGTCGTACAACGATAAGCACTTTTGCACTAACGGCGGAGTTGTTCTCCATTATGATGCCAAGGAACTTACTTGGATTCATTGCGTTAACTGCTGTCAGTTTACTGCCTCAAATGAGTATGTTATTACTCCTCGAATCTCTGTTTCAGACACGATACGACCCCAACCAGGACAAGAGAGCCTCGATAAAAACGAAGCCGAGACCAACGAAGCGACTACAGAACCATCAACTGCTTTCAGTCATAGTTCCACCCCATCTTCCGTGATTAACG